ACCAGAGCCATGTTGTGTTACCAGAGCCATGTTGTGTTACCAGAGCCATGTTGTGTTACCAGAGCCATGTTGTGTTACCAGAGCCATGTTGTGTTGAGGTTTGTTAATAGAGTTTATTTTGGGGGGGAAGTTTTGTTAAGTTACATTAAATTAAGTTCACTGTAAATAAATTGCTCACCTTGGAAACCTGAAATGTCTGCATAGTCTGCTTCCCTACCACCTTCCTTGACGTTCGAGTCTGACTACTTCACAGGCAGATGTTATTATATTAGTACAATGCACCAAGAGAAGCGTAAACATTCTATCTCGCTCACATTAACAGGTCAGTATGACTGGTATTTAGCTAAAAAACAACATTATAGCTCTGTGTGCTTATAGTAGTTTTCTTCAGGTCTGGATATTGATGGTTGTTGTTGTTTGTTTTTTTAAATTGATTTATTAACCTCCATCCATCCATCCACATATGTGGACATCACATTTTGGGTGATGTCCACAAAATACTTAAATTTTCTCTGCAAGGGCCTGATATCCACTTACGAGGACATTATACTGAGTTCGGGTCTTAGGAGGTTAAAAATGAAAAAGAATTGATGATAGCGCTGGTATGCAGACAGACATAATCTGAGTAACATTGAATTTTGGGTCATTCTGACATTGAATCCAAGCTCTGGAAAACAAACTCTCACTAACCTCAGATTTCTTGCCAAATATCCCGGTTCAGAAATAGCACAGCTTCTGTGGTAAAATATAACATCTTTGTTCAAAATGTTTAATAACAAGCATGGCAACAAACATGGCATATGAACAATGCATGTTTAGAAAAATATATCTGCAAATGTATTTTTCAGGATACACTATACATCGACTTAACCTCTACTCGATATTAAACATTTACAATTCAGAAGTGATAGTGTCACGGTAGAAAACAACACGGCCAGTTTCCTTTTGAATAGTGTCCATTTCAGGATCAGCTTACGTCAGGAGAAAGATGTAGGCAGACATTTGAGTAAAACAGGCAAACAACCTGAGATGTCTTCATGGTATACCTGCTTGCAGCTGTTTGTTTTTTTTGTTGTTGTTGTTGTTTTTTTAACTCATGCTTCTTTATTTTCCCTTACCAGTTTCACATAAACAAACCCTCCTTTTCCAAACAAACTGTCCAGGTATTAACAAGGGTTTTTCCTTACAAAAGAAATTATATTACCTCGCAGACAACCTCCAACTTGTTGTTGAAACCTATGAACATTTCTTAATATGACATTCCCAGCGTTGGTTTATATTTGGATGTTTATAATAATGATGTGTCATACATGAACTGAAATGAATGTTCAAATGGTTTCTGCTTCAGTTCTCAAATACAACCCTGACCAGTATCCAGTAGTGATGATACAAGAGTCAAACTAGATACAACCTCTCATTTTACTTCAGAACACAAAATTAATGCCAAAAAAAAGAAATGAAGTGATGTTAAATAATTGAGTAAAAGAGGTATTGAAGTGGAGTTAATTTCCATGTTTGATTAAATTAATCTCAGAGAAGGCGCAGTGGCTGTGTCTCCGTAGCTTAAATAATGCTTAAGTCTTCAGTGCAGACACAGTCTCATTGTGATTCTGTCCGAGTGTCTTTGAGGAGACTGTCCCGCTGAGGGGAGCTGAGAAGAAATTGCAGCAATGCTCAGTATCCCGCAGGATAGCCTCCTTTCCTGGGGTCAGACTCTGCACAGAGACGCTCTCCCTGCCGCACCACAGCCTGGACCACCGAGTCTGGAGTCCTTAGCAGCTGCGTTACATGGTTCTTCTGGACCAGACCCTCCAGGACACTCTGGCATAGTTCCACCACACATACAAAAACATAGAGAAATAGTCTTGTGCAGGAGTTTTGGCTTTGTAATGCATAGCAAACATGTGGAATTTTTTTTTTTTTACCTTCCTGGCTGCTGGCACATGTGTAAAAGTCAATGTGCATAAATCTAAAACTTAAAATGAGATAAGGACTATATAAAGAAACACTTGATTCCCTTTCCTTATTATCAAATCTCATTGCTATGTGTTTTTAACCCTGCTAAAGGGATGTCTAAAAATGTGTAGACCTCCAATGTGTCCAGAGGATGAATCCTTGTGACTCTGGTGATGCTATGGCTTTTCTTTCAGTGCAAGGTCTGATGACCAATTGCCAATTTAGGGAGACTGAAGGCCTCACAGAAAGAAGGAAATAAAAAATCAAACACTTTCATGCCCGAGTCATCTTAACGGTCAGAATCCTCTGAAGTGGGAACAGAGGAGTAGCAACAATCTTTCACTCTAGCTTCTTAATCAACCAAAAATGGAGACAGAGTTTTAATTCATTTGAAAACCTGACTCCTAACCTACACTCTAATAAAAAAATTAAAAAAACATTTTCATTTTTTGTTAAATTTCATCCATCTCCCCATCCATTCTACCCGATTTGCCAGTGTTTTTATCTGTTTTGGTTCAATTGTTTGGTTTTGTCAGTTCAATTGTAGTGGGTGATTTTAACATCCATGTAGACTGTAAAAATGACTGCCTCAACACGGCATTTAATCTATTCTCTCAAAATGTTAATGAGACCACTCACTCTTTAACCATACTTTTGATCTTATTCTGACATGTGGCACAGAAACTGGACATTTGACTGTATTCCCTGAAAGCCCTCTTTTGTCTGATCATTTCTTAATACATGTAAATTTACAATGTGGAATTACACAGTGGGGAAAACATTTCATTACAGTAGATGTCTTTCTAAAACTGCCGTAACTAAGTTTAATATCTTCAGCACCGTGTGCCAACACAGTACAGAGCAGCTACCCAAACTTTGCTCCCACAGTGGTTGATTATTTTCTTATAAGTGTAACATCCTCACAGCGTTCCTCTAAAAAAAAAAAAAGGAAAGCATCAAATCACAAGCGCTTGACTCCCTGGTGTAACTCACAAATGCACAATTTAAAGCACGTAACTGGCAGAGAAATGGCATCTGATTAACAACGAGTTTGTTGCTCTATTTGTTCTTGTTTTTTAAAAAGGACTCTGATCTTTCTGAGTTAATTTCAATAAGTACTTCCTAAAAATCATCGACCTGTCTATTAGGACCCATTAAGACTGCTCAAAGAAGTCTTACCGTTAATTAATGCTTCAATCTCAGATATGATCAGTCTGTCTCTGTTAATGGGCTGCATGTGCTGGCAAGTGTCACCTGCTCGTCACAGTACACAAAGAGTGCTAGCTTCTGTACAAAGGATCCTTTTATTGCCTGTGACAGTGGACTCTTGTCCTGCTTGACTTCAATGCAGCATTTGATACTGATGACCATAATATTTTATTACAGAGATTATAGTGTGCTGTAGGTAGGGAGGGATTCCTCCTTAGACACCAGTGTTAATTTTGGTGTTCCACAAGGTTCTGTGCTGGGATCAATTCTGTTTACATCATATAGGCTTCCATTTTGTAACATTATGAGAAGGCATTGCATACATTATCCTTGCTATGCACATGATACCCAGCTTTATCTATCCATGAAGGCAAATGCGACACACCACATTGAAGGAATATCATAGAGACCTAAAGGTCTGGATGACATCTGGTGCTAAATTCAGATAAAACTGTTGTTACTTGTTACTAATTGTGCCCTTAACCTGATGACATATGTGGTACTTTGTTAATAGTCTTTTATTTATTGTCTTAATTTTCCTGTTTTTATTGTAAAGCACTTTGGTGTACCACTGGTCTTTTAAATGTGCTATACAAATAAAGCTGTATTGTATTGTATTGTTACTTGGCCCTAAAAATCTTAGAAACGTGGTCTCTAACCAGATACAATGAGTGGTATTATTTTAGCCTCTAATTACACTGGGAGGAATTTTGGAATAAATTTTGAGCAGGATAAGTCCTTCAGGGCATATATTAAACAAATACATCAATGTCAGGACTCTGTGCAGGTCAGTTAAGTTCTTCCATATCAAACTTGTGCATGCATGTCTTTATGGACCCATGCACTGGTGTACAGTCATGCAGGATCAGGAAGGGGCTATCCCTAAACTGTTTCCAGGAAGTACTGTTCTCCTGGCAAAAGTCAAACCCATACTCATCCATCAGCTTGCCAAACAGAGAAGCATGATTCATCACTCCAGAGAACACTTCTTCACTGCTCTAGAGTCCAGTGTTGGCATGCTTTATATCACTGCATTCAACACTTTGCCTTGCATTTGGTGATGTAAGGCTTGGATGCAGCTGCTCGGCCATGTTAACCCATTTCATGAAGCTCTCTACACACTGTTCTTGAGCTAATCTAAAGGTCACATGAAGTCTAGAGGTCTGTAGCAACTGACTCTGCAGAAAGTTCGCAACCTCTATGCACTTTGTGCATCCGGTGATCCTGCTCTGTGGTTTTATGTGACCTACTTCTTTGTGGCTGAGCTCCTGTTGCTCCCAGTCACTTCACTGTGTTATAATACCACTAACAATTAACTGTGGAATATTTAGTAGCAAGGAAATTTTACAACTGGACTTGTTGCACAGGAAACATCTTATAATGGTACCACACTGAAATTCAGTGACTTCCTGAGAACCACCCATTCTTTCACAAATGCTTGTTGAAGAAGTCTACATGCCTAGGAGCTCCGTTTTATATACCTGTGACCATGAAAATGATTGGAACTGGAATTTAATTATTTGGATGGGGGAGTAAATACTATTGGCAGTTTAGCGTAGGGCTGCTTTATTGCATTTCAGCAACATTTGTGATATCATAACATCCTGTCTCAGGGTGAGCTTCAGTGGAACCAGCTCTGAGTTTGGATTCATGAAACAGAAAACTTCTGTACTTCTAAGATTAGGCTTAAAACTTTCCATTTTGATAAAGCTTATAGTTATGCTGTAATAGGCCTAGGCTGCTGAGGGCTTCCCACAATGAATGGAGGGTTTCTTGTTCACTCACTTCTAATCATTAGTTGTTATTAATCTACTGGCTCTCTTTCATAGTGTGTCTTTTGCCCAGCCTTGCTCCCCTCACCCCAAACCGGTCATAGCAGATGGTTGTTCCTCCCTGAGTCTGGCTCTCCTGCATGTTTCTTCCTGTTAAAAGGCAGATTTTTCATCCAGCTGTCGCCACGTGATTGGCCATAGAGGGTTGTCAGATTATTGGGAGTTTTTCTGTATCATTGTGGGATCTTTACCTTACAATATAAAGCACCTTGAGGAGGCTGTTTTTGTTTGTTGGTTCTTTATTTAAAAAGGATTCGATAAATGTAATTGAAATGAATTGTTTTCACTCTTTTAAGGCTAAAAAAAACTTTTTAAAGAAGTGTCGTGAAAATCAGTACACACGTTCTAGCATGAGGAGGATTTGTTATAGCTCTAGTGACCCTTTTGTTTTGAACTTTGTTTTTCAAGTCAAAGATTCATTCTTTTATACTATACTTTTACTACATACTATATACTTATACTATACTACATTCTTTTCCACTACACTCAGCTAAGTAGCAAAATGCTGCACTCTAAAACAATAAACAACTATTGTAAACAATATACAATCTAAGTATGTGCACAGCAAATTCATTCTCCAAAATATGCATAAACATTGCGGCGGGGTGTGGTTTGTGGCTCAGCTGCAGGGGAGGGGTGGAGCAGTGGGTTCAGGGAGGCTGACTCACACACCTGACCTCATCACCTAATCATGCGTCCCCTGTTAAAGATGTTGTTCAGGAGGCTGTGTGTGCTACAGAAGCAGGACAGCTGGAAAGCTGCTCCTTGGAAAAGTGGTCAATAAAAGAGGTTTAAAAACTGCAACTCTGCTGTCGTTGGATCCTCGTTGTCACACATATTTTTGTACTTTTGTGCTTGATCCTGTTTTCACAGCAATTTTTATAGTCATAGTACACTAATGGTCACATGCATAGTACATTCATACATGCACATTCTTTGCTTATGATACAACTGTAATACTGCTAAGCTATGTTGCTGTCTGTGTGACCCACCTTTTCAAAGCCCTGCTCCACTACTGTCATATTTGGATTAAGCTGATTGTGAAGTCGTGGCTCTGTCACGGCTTTCTTTAGGTCATAGTTGAAAAACAAGGAGTTGAGGATGACCTGTTTTTAGGTAAGAAAAATGACAACATGTATGTGAGGTTTCACATTCCCAAGTCAACATGAGGGTGATGCATTTGAATGAATTAGACTTACTAATGCTGTGGCTGTGGTGATTTTTGTGCCCCCGGATGCTCCTACAACCATCTTCACTTGGTTTTCTTTGTCAAATATGATAGTAGGACACATGGAAGACAGCGGCCTTTTGCCTAGAAACAGATTGTAAAAAGAAGGTGGATTTGACTGCCTGATAGTTTTAGCAAAGTCATGCTGAATGTCAACAACTCAGCTCAATCACATCATAGTCTATTTGAGATGCTACAACAAGCCGGTGACCCACAGAGTGAGAGAGGCGATTAGCTTATTGTACGGCAGCAAAACTGAGGATGAGTAAAAGGCCCTCCTCTGAATCATCCTAACCAGAGGAAGAATCTAGTAACACCATCTATCTTTGAAAAACATGAGGCTTAATTTAGCAAACATTGATATCCATCAACACTGACTAAAGGTCACTGCCCCACAGGGGATTAGAGAAGTACTAGTGTGATAACTCAATTCAGTCACACCTGGTTGAATGAAGTTGTTGGGTGAAGGGGGGATTCCAAACCCATTGGTCATGTATGGAGAGCTGAAGTCATCCATTTCATCATTAAAAATGATCCCAGTAGATCGAGACATGACTTTTGAACCAAAGCTGGGGAAATAAAGCCATTTTTTAAACCTTCACTCAGTGCGCTACATTGTAGGGAAGACAGTTCATTTACATGCATGGCTTTTGAGAGGCACATTTACTGACTTGATGTCAGCCTTGTCAGAGAAACTCACTATAGATTGATGGTGCTCGTTGCTGCCACAGCACTGCCATCCTCAGCAATGACTGACAGATGAGCTGTCCCGTGGTTGTCTGGAACAAAATACTCGGGCTCATAGTAGCTGTCTGGGTGGGTCGTGTCATCTGTAATTTTGCTCCTTATGCCATCAGCAAAGTAGTCTGAGGTCATGTTTTGGATTAGCTGAAAGGAGCAAAACAAGTCAGTTAAAGAGGAGAAAACAGGCATTTCAGACTGTTTAAGAGTTAAAGAGTTTCCAGGAGACAATTTTATGGCCACAGTGAGAAAAATTATGCCGTAAATGCTCAAAAAAAGAATGAAGAGGATTATAGCTGGAGCCCTTACATCAGTAATGTTGAGATACCGAGGGTCCCCCAATCTGCTCCTCTTGGCGTAAGCAAAACGAAAAGCCTCTACAATGCGATGGTACGTCAGAGTTTTCTTCTCTGCTGTAGAGACGCTCGTGTCTGAGAAGTTGAACCCTGCAATATATCCACAGGAAAAATACATCTGGAGCGAATGACAGTTAGATGACAATTTACTGGCCTGATCTGATCTTCTCTGTTATTGTGCTAAAAGTCAATGGCATGTTATTAAAAACTGCAATACAAATAGAATAAATGTGCGGGCACGCACCCCTCCAACTTCATATATGAACACATTCAGTGCTCAATTTAAATGAATGATGCCACTTTTATTATGAAGCATGGCTTAATGATTCTCTGCCTGAACAGATGGAGTGTTGATGGTAAATTAAATTTGGCAGGCAGAACTAAGCAGCAGCTCAGTTTTCTGCTTCCAAAGAAGGGAGAGAAACATTCTAGAGACGACCTGGGGAAACCTGACATCCTCTCTTCTGCATGGCTGCACAAACACTCAGCCAGGCTGCTCACCATCCACTATGTTGAGTATGAGTGCCAGCACAGGGCCACTGGAGGGGGCATCTGGGACATGTATGGTGTATTCCCCGACGTTCAGCTTTAAAGGGTTCTCGTTCAGCACGGGCTGGTACTCCAACAAATCTTCCAGGGTGATGATACCACCTGGAACCAGTACAGAAGTGTCGTTGTGAATTCAATAGGAGGAGTAACAACTGAAGCATCTGAAGACAACAGCGGATGAGGATACAGCAGAGCACCTGCCGCCTGGATGTCCTCAACAATGTTCTGTGCCATCGTCCCGTTATAAAACACATCAGGCCCCTCTTCTGCTATTCTTTGGTATGTTTCAGCCAGCTTTGGGAATCTAACAATATCATTCTCCTTCAGGATGTTTTTCTGAGAATCACAAAAGACCTCGCTGAGAGAGGGAAGAAAAGAAAACATGTATTAAAGAATATTAAAGCCATTGTAAGTAGAAATTGAAACCTTTAAAAAGAACCGCTGTGGTAAACAGCAATGCACCCAATTATCAGAGCAGGATAAGGGTGTAGAAATGAAACACAGATGCCACTGAGTAATATCTGAATAATTTTCACAATTGGTTTTTTTTAAAAATATATATATATATAAAGCCACAGTTTGACATGGAGCACAGTTATTATAGATATTTTATTTCCATCTAACATTTTGATTCATTTAGATTTTGGTACCTCTGTCATTTCTGCTAAAGCACACCTGCTATGCTCATTTCCATCTTCTTATTCTTGTATTCTCTAAAGTAGAGAATAGTATATAGTATATAAATAGTAGACTCTAGGAAGACTGTTTTTATTTCAGTGAAATAAACATGGTCAGCCATTTATTTGGCTCAGAGTCTGGGGTAATGATGAGGCATTTATCATTAGATATGCTGCTGGGTGGGTTGCTTTACCTCCAGCAGCAGCAGATTCAGACAACTGTTTTCCCCTGTTTCTGGTTTGATGCTGAACTAAGCTAAGAATAGTCTAATAAGCCAAGAATATCTACTACAACATGTATTAGGCTACTGGCTGTAGCTTAATACATGCTGGCATAAGCATAGTATTTTCTCCTCTAACTCATAGTTAAAGTGAACACATTTCCCCAAATATCTATTTCTTTCGGTTTACAGTGTATTATTAAGTATTCAGATATGAGAATATCACCCTCACCACATGTTGGCATCTCCTTGAATGGAATCCTTGCTTTTTAAGATTGCATGAGCCAGGGCTTTTCCAATCGGAAATCCGTCACGAGCCAAGGCAATGCTTGGCTCAAACAGCTCCTTCCATGGCAGCCGGCCATGCCTTTTGTGTGCCATCTCATAACCGCGGATCTCTCCCGGAATGGCTATGGACAGTCCACCTGTCACGCAGAAACAGTAGTACCACTGATTTGAATTTCACAAGCCCTCTCTTTCTACCCCTTCTCTGAGTGAGGGACCACCGTGCTAAGAGACATCAAGATAGTGTGAGATATCTATCGATAAAGTGTTCTCGTCCCAGAGCTTTTAAATGGAGGCAAAGGAAGGTGTAATAAGGTTGTTAAGAATGTGCGAACATCTGACAAGAGGTCGATGGACTCTAAATCCCTATTTGATCTTGGGTAGCATCAACAACCTTAGAGAATTAAATGAAATCTGGTCTACATTTGGCCAATCAGCACCCAGGAAATACTCCAGCAGAGCACAGCAGGGTGCTACCTGTGCGAGAAAGCTTAGTGTTGTTGCCAAACATGTCCTCAGTGGCGTTCATGGGTGCAGTCTCCCTCGCATCGATGGTTTCCACCTTTCCTGTTGAGCAGAAAACGAGGACTGATTGATCAGTGTCTCCTCGATTGTCTGTGCTGGCAATTTCTAACTAATGAGGCACGCTCACCTGTGGAAGCGTTATAGATGACAAAGAAGAGCCCTCCTCCGATGCCCATGCTGTGAGCGTTCAAAAGGCCAACACACAGCAAGGCAGCGATGGAAGCATCCACAGCAGAGCCGTTTTTCCTCAGAATGTCCCTGGAAACAAGAGAATACACTTAACAGCTAAGACGTGCACAGAAGAGCACGGCATCTGCTATATGTCGTCTTACCTCCCCACTTCCGAGCACTTTCCAGCATCAGCAGCCACGGCGGCCTTTGAGTAGAAGTGGTCTGAAGTGGGAGGTGTGTTTTTCTTCCCCAAACCCATGAACACCCCCAGGAACAGGCTCACTGCAGCCACCAGAAGGACCACCAGACCAGCAATCAGGGACTTCCCAACCATTTCTCTGCCGGGAAGGGGGGGCACGGGGAAATCAGCACACCTCGGAAAGACACCGGGTTCTTCAGCTCAGAAGCAACAGTCTTCTCCTCCAGACATCGCCTATCATTATTTTTTAATTGGGAACCAAACATTTACATATGTTTAACAATCTGAAGCAAAAAGAACACCACATTTTTATTTCACTCACCTTTGGTTTGTTTGTTTCACAGACTCATTGGAAATGCTGGACAGAACAGAAGGAATGACCTGACTCTTACTGAGCCTTAGCAGTAATGACAGTGTGTTTTATATAACTAACTAAAGTCTCCGCTGATGCGTGCTGTGTCATCTTGGTTTGAAGGTGTGACTTCGCTCGGGTGTCACACTGTGATTCTGATGAGCAGTCCTTTCATATGAGCAATGCTGGGTTTTTTTTGTTTTTTTTAGTAAGAAGAAGAAAAAGAAATGTGTATATATATAGAGAGAGAGAAAAAAAGCATAGAGGAAGATGAGAGGTGGAAAGCAATCACCATCAAAGCTTTCTGGAGTGCCTACTGTGTGTGTGTTAGCTCTTGGGGATGTTGGAAGAAAAACAATAAGGTTCAAAATTCTGACAGAAAAAAAACACATTTGCAGACATCCACATTCAATTCTTTAAAAAAAAATCTGAATTTGGGTGCTGCAATCTATTATTTCCATCATATTTCTCTCTCCAAACAACAACTGCTCTTCGCATCATTGATCACTTTGGAGTGAAGCTCTCAAGTTTGTCTTTCTGGTGCTCTATAACCTTCCATTTCACTCGGATATCAATCTGCCAGGTTTGCCAAAGTGAAGGTGAGAGTGATCTGTTTACAGATGCAAGCAGCATTCAGCTCTGACTCGGGGCTCTGTGTGATTGGCTCGGCCAGCAGCGTTGCCATGCTCAGTAACCGTGTCACATTCTATTTGGCTTTTTCTGCAGGCGTCCTCAGACCGATTAAGATGCCTTCGCCTTCGCCCGGGAGCACAAGTCCAAGCTGGCAGCATCGGTGACGGTAGCTGCAGAACAGCAAATACCCTTCTGTGGTACCTCGGCTAATCCAGCGTGCACTCCTGTTGCTGGGCCACACTGATAAAGTGCTGTCAAAGGAGCCTGTGGTCTGCTGCTGCTGCTGCTGCTATGATTGTCTCTAAATCTAATTACTATATCCTGTTCTGGATCTCCCATGTTCAGAGCCACCCCAAGAGAGGGGAGTTTGCTCAGCAGGCAGAGCTGATTTATAGCAGAAGAGAGCAATTACATTTCTGTTTAGTTACAGATCACAGAGGCCTTGCTTCCTTCAGTTTTAATGCGAACAGCACTGTCACTGCACCGGAGTTGTTGTGTGAAATATTAGCTGGAGCTCTTTTCATATTTTTATCCGTCAGCTTAGAGGCTTATAGGTTTTGTTTTGACTTTGATGGGAGCGGTGCACTCACACTACCCACCATGTTTCCCTCCAGTTGTTTTTCGTACAATAAAGAGGGAGGCTTGTTTATTCCTGTATACGCAGCAGCAGATCTGATCACACGCTGCTGTTGTTCCTCTGCGACAGGTGAAACGCAGCCTGCAGAAACATGGAGAGCAGAAAGGTGATGTAATGTGTTTTTATGGCCGGCTGCGCTCCTTTTAATGATAGGGACGCCACAGACAGGTTCTGGGATGTGTGCTGCAATCAGGAGTTGGTAGCTAAGCTGCTTCTGTCATAGCAGCACTGTACAAATGAGGGAGAACAGAGGCCACCCAGTCTTTTTTTGTTTGCAACCTCTCACAGTGTAGGTTATACATGAACGGGTCAAATTTAACAGTGTGCAGTGTTGGGGGGATTTTTGACTGATTTTGTGAGTTATAGGCCAAGGGGTGCAATTTGAAGTGACGGTATTGCTGCTAGGTGGAGTGGGAAAACTGAAGGCCACAGCCACTACTTTAATAGGCCCGCACAACAACAGTGAAACCTGATCAGTGGTATGTGCACAAATTAAGAGAACTGGAGTTACATTTTTTCTACAGCAGCTGTTTTTGGATATATGTATGAGGACAGGGATCGTAGGGTGAGGTGTGCAACAAGACTGAAAGGTGGGAGTGAGATTTTATCAAGAATTGACTCTAAGACCTTTCTTGTTTGGAGTGCTGATGGGCAGGCTGACAGATGAGGTCAGGCAGGAGTCTAAATGGACTGTGATGTTTGCAGACAACTTTGTGATCTGTAGTAAGAGCAGGGAACAGGTGCAAGAGAGCCTGGAGACGTGGAGGTATACTCTGGAGAGAAGAGGAACGAAGGTCAGCAGAAGCAAGAAACAATACATTTGTGTGAATGTGAGGGAGACAAGTGTAACAGTGAAGCTACAAGGAGTAAGGGTTATGAAGGTGGATGAGTTTAAATACCTGGGTTCAACCATCCAAAGCACAAGAGAGGAGAAGATGAGAGTAGAGGTAGGGTGGAGATTAGTGACAGGGGTGATATGTGACAGAGGAACAGCAGCAAGCATGAAAGGGAAAATATACAAGATGGTAGTGAGACGTGCTATGATGTTTGGTTTGGAGACAGTGGCACTGACAAAAAGAGAGAAGGCAAAGCTGAAGATGCTGAAGATTTTTTGGGGTGTGACGAAAATGGATGGGATTAGAATATCAGAGAGAGCTCAGGCTGAGCAGCTTGGAGATAAAGTCAGAGAGGCAAGGCTGAGATGGCTTGGACTTGTGCAAAGGAGGGATAGTGAATATATTGGACAAAGTGTGTCCGAGATGGAGCTGTCAGGCAAGAGGAAAAGAGAGAGACCACTAAGAAATGAAGGACATGCAGAGGGTTGGTGTGACAGAGGACGATGCTGGGGATAGGGTGTGATGAAGGCTAATGTTCACTGTGGTGATCTATAGGAGAAGAGGCCAGAAGAAGAAGAAATTGCTTATTATATATGAGTCATCATAATATAATTAGATGTGACAGTAGTAAACGGCCACAATAGAACATTACTATTGAGCCTACACGGATTCAACAGCAGAACAAAAGCTCAGTTTTGCCAACCCCAGAAAAATGGTTGCTACTCAGAGTCAGCATCCTAACCACTAAGCTGCTTGGGGGCAAGCAAATGACATCACTGTTTCACTGTTATCCTCTTGGGCTGTGTGATTTCTTTGCTATTTTGACCATGACCTGTTTTTTGTTTTTTTGTTTTTTTTACTATTTCATTTGTCGTGCTACATCATGTTGATATCAATTAACCTGCAGTTCATAAACATCTTCAGCTAGAACAGTTATAGATTAACGTGCTTTGGCTTGTCAAGACAGAAAAGAACAACAAATACTGAATATTACAATAAGAGAATTCCCTATATTGTAGATAATGGGTTGATGCAAAGCTTAGAAGAGCTTTAAAATAGTAATAAAAATGTATGTATGTGTACTCACTAAATTTGTCCCATTAGACCCTCTCTGCCTGTTAAATGTGAGTCTCTTTCAAACCCCTTCTGTTCAGCTCTAAGAGCGATAACCCCGCTGCCACTGTGAAGCTGCAATCACACAGGATATAATAAAGCTGACAGAATAGTGCTCCCTGCGATATGTAAATCAAACAGAATCTGTAAAAGCAGTGCACCTTAATCATCACCAGACCCCACCAAAAGTTGGCCACTGGGTTGAGAATCTTTTTTTTTTAATGTTCATTAACTGTTTCTAGGTGCAGATTTAATTCTCTTGTCACAAAAGCTTTGCAAACCTGAAACAGGAAAGCAGAATGACCAGTTCATTTAGAGCAAGCTGTTCAATTGGGTCGCTTTACCAGCATTGCTCCGAGAGTCAAGGATCTGACAAAACAAGTCAGTGCCGTGAGGATGCTGCATTAAATTAAGGGCACCGGTCAATCATAATTACAACCTCTAAAAAAATATGCAGCTGGGCCGGTCCACAGCAGGGGAAAATAATTATTAGAGAACAGATCACAGCGCTGTGCTCTCCACTAAACAAGACTGAGCCTGAATCATGCCAGCAAATAAGGTCAAGTCAGGCTCAAAGTCCTTAAAGCCACAATGATGGAAGCTGGGCTACAAATAGAATAGGTGTGGATGGGGGCTGAAATAACTGAGAGCTGTCTATTATGTCGCTGGCTGCACCTCAGGGGCCCCCCATTCACCGACCTCCGTGGAAATAAATAAAGAGAGATGGCAATGTGACAAAAAGACGGGATGTGGATATTTTTCAGTGAATTCTGTGACTTAGTGAAGCTGTGATTGATGCAAACAGGAGCTGACAGCTCATGCAAAGGCTGAACAACAACAAGACTGCCAAAAGAGAAATTTCAGATTTATACCGGGGCCCATGGCGAAGCACGTACTTGAGAAGCTGGAGCTAAAAGACAAACTTTCAGGTCTTCTGGAGGATAAACCGAAGACCCCCCTAAGAGAAAAAAAAAATCAAACTGAAAGTGGCACATTCAGAGCATTTTTTTTTTAAAATCCCTTTCTTTCAACGATTCTTTTGCTTACATTGGTCTCACGTGCTGAATATTCTTATAATTTGATTCCCCTTTTTGCAGCTGCACGGGGAGGAGAGGGAGAGGGCTGAGGGGGGTTTATGGCTGGGAGGAGAGACGCGCAGCAGGCACCAGATGCTGCGATTGGTCGGACTCTCCACGTTGCACAAATCTAAACAGCAGCGTAAAAGCAGACACGACCGGAGGATGAAGCAGCCGAAGCATCATCATCATCATCTGAGCTTGGCGCACGTAGCGCACGGTGGCAGCGACGGAGGAGAAAAACAAAGCGAGATATACTAACGCGTGACGGGTGCACGAGGCAACGATGATCGTTTAGAGCGTTCTAGGATATTATGTGGCTCTGCACCGGATCCCCAGCCATCTGACAGCCAGTCGCAGAGCCAGACAACACGACGCTGTTGTTTTTTTGGGGGGGGGGTTTCTCTACCATCCACTTAGGAGCATCTGCTGGAAACGGGCAACTGGAGCTCATCATGGGATTGTCCTTTTGGTAGTGGTGCTGTCTG